TGGAAGTATTTCTTCTGAGAAGTCTTTTCTGACCACACATCATGCTGGGATCCTCCTCTGGGCTCTCTGTAATACCTCTGTCAAAGCATATGTCACCCTACGTTGAGGTTATCCACAGTAGGGGTAGCTGGCAGTAACTGGTGTGACCTTTATGGGGCACAGGTTTTGCTTTCTTATACTCCAAGACCTAAAACTGCCACAGAATAGCTGCTCACAACTTATGTAATTATTGAATAAGTAAACTCCAAAATCTGTGTTAAAGTCTTTGAACTTAAATTTTTAAGTTAAATTTTTTAGCCAGCACTCCTAAGTATGTTTAATCCTTCTGACAACACATTGAGAAACACTGCTTCAAAATGAGCATTGCTGAAATAATTCAGTGTGCATTTAAGCCTGTAATATTTTATGTATCTTAGAGCTTTTCTTAAAAAATCCATTCACTTATCCCCTTCATATCCTATTATCACACCCTCAATCCAAAAAGTCAATGATGGGCAGGGTGACCATATAATTTATCATCCAAACTGGGATATATTTAAATATAAAGGAATATTACAACTATACCGGGACTTCAGCTAGAAACTGGGCAAATAGGAGCACAGTTTTATCCTAATTATGAAGAAGTAGGAAGCGGAATTCTCAGATAAGAATGAAGGAAGTAAAAACAGTATGTTTTTTTTTTTTCTGTTTTTCAGATTTATCTTATGCATGGATCTTCAATGATAACCCTTTATACATCCAAGAGGACAACAGGCGGTTTGTATCTCAAGAGACGGGAAACTTGTACATTGCCAAAGTAGAACCATCAGATGTGGGCAACTACACTTGCTTCATAACAAACAAGGAGGCCCAGAGAAGTGTTCAAGGACCACCCACTCCATTAGTGCAGCGCACCGATGGTAAGAGAACAAACAAGTTATCTTGGGAGTATACTTTGTCCATGGCTCTTAAAGCCTGGAGAAATCTGGAAAGTGTTTTGCTTTTTTCTTATTCAGTGGAGCCACATTATCTATGAGTTTAGGTTCAACTCATACATATGATAAAAATCAGATATTATCAAAAATATGATAGAAAATTCTCTGACCCACATGGTGCAGTATACATGGTTCTGGGTATACCTTGCCATCTCCTTTCTGGCATTGTAGCAGCTTGTCTTTTCTTTGCTTAAAGACTATTTTATAACAAATGATGTTTGCTTGGGGGAGTTGGCGTGTGTGTATGTGTGCACGTATGGGTGATGCAAAATTTATGTAACTGAATCCATATATTTTTAAAGAACAGATGCTGCGATTTCTTATTAATGCCCCCTTTTTCCATATTTGCCTTTTATGTTCACCCTTTATTCATGTGGCTGGCAAAATGGGAAAATAAGTTCATACCCAAGGAAAGCAAAGCAAGGCAACATTAATTATAAGCATTCCAAAGAAGAATGAAACAGGATTCATACTAATTATATTCCTCTAAGGAACATAATTCAGACTGGTCTCTGATGAGTTGTTTAGCTTAGTCAAGTCATAGCTGGTGCAAGATTTAGAGAGCTAGACAGTCTAAGGGAGTCACTGAAGTGGAAAAATCCTCTAGATGATTCTTTAATTAAATGTTCACAGTGGGATATGGAAAGATAGAAAATCTGTTGGTGTATTTTATGATCAGTTTCTGGACTTGAAATGCAATAGCTCATGGAGTTTCCCTCCCCCCTTGAAGAGTTTAAGAAAAGCAAGAATGTAATGCTAATAATGGCTAACAAAATTATGGAACTAGCTCCACAGAGGAAGTTTTTATGACAGAGCTTTTATAATCACTAACCAGCCAAATATATTTGCAAGGGCCTTAATTCAGATTTCAGCAACCATTAGATTTATGCATAAATCCAATTTCTCCCCCTCAGTGACTAGGCATACTCTATTCATGACTGGACTAGCTGATAAGCTAGCAATATGCGTGGAGATTCTACCATATTTTTCCTTTTTTTTCCTGTCTATTCTTTCTGCTCCTCCCCTACTTAATTCTTTCTTTCTTCTATCCCCTCTAATCCCTTCAACACATTTATGGTAAAAATAGACCAGAAGCATTATATGCAATACTAAAA